TAAGATCCTACATCTGACACTGAACACAACAGAAGTACTGAATCTGACTAAAAACTCAGGACGAGGTTTGAAGGTATTTGTGAAATGTGATGTTCAAATGTGTGCAAAACTGTCACTGAAAACATGACGTCTTAATATACGGTGTTCAACAATGTGATGGGTTTGCCTTGAAGAAAGAGATCAAAACTGATATCCTGATTGCAGCACAGCGAACGAACAGTCGGCTATTCAGCTATTCGGGTCCAGCTCTAGTGCACAGATATCACTCAATCAAGAAACCCAACAATATCAGAAAATATATTTCCCCCTTAAAAACTATGCTTTTTCCTCAAAGGAGATAAGAGGGGCTGTGATTTACGGAGCAATTCATTTTCAGTTTGTTATTTGCTTGAGATGATATCAATCAAACTGAAGCTGAGTGGATTTGACTCAGTAGAAATGACAAAAATAGAGATAACTTAAGTTTGATTGATATTGTCTCAGGTAGACGATGAAAAAGTGGGTTTTCTGAGGGTTTGTAAAGATGCAGTTATCTGTTTTTGCAAATGAACTCTTCATTTGTGCTCGTAGCCATCTCTATGTACTGTCTTGAGGTATGTTTATTTTATGATTAGAGTCTGAAGCAAAGTTTAGGTCCCTAATTGAAATGAGTAATTTGGAGCAATAAGAGGAAAATAGTGAAGTTAATGACCGACGCTGTGCTCTTCGACATCTGAATTGTGAGAAACTGAACATATTCGGCTCATGACACTCAACAGGCGCAGGTGTCTTTTATGCATTCCCACATCGCATTACTGTGGAGATATGTGTGTTTTATTGGAGCTAAATCTCACCATTGTAGTTTCGTCTCTTTCCATGGAATGTTTTTTTTTTCCCCCCCGTTCCCATGGGTTTATGGGTAATGTGGTAAGCGGCTCAGAAATGTGCGTGTGGAACCGAACCCAAAGACGACATCAAAAATGAAATTAAACAGCGGGTAGGTATGTCTATGAAGGCTGTGGTATTCTAGCATGCTTTCGTTAGGAAAAAATCTAAAACAGTTTGAAGAGTAATTCCACAGAGTCTAAAGGGCTCGTGATTTGTGGTTAGATTCACGGCCTTGGCTTGAGCTTGAACCTTGCGGTGTCCTGCATCTCTCACACACACAATACTCAGAGAGAGCTTCGGTGCATTTTAACAAACAGGCTGAACTGATCCATGCCAGTCAAACCAGTCATTTGCTTGCATCAGAGGCTGCCCTGATGCCTGGCCGTGAGCTAATAGGAGAAATTAAAACCAATTCATGGCTCAGCCCCGGAGGGCCACTCCGTTTCCCAGGACTATTACAGAGTGATGAGTATTATAATGACTCCAGGAACACTTTGTCATTATAACGGGAATTATTAAGGGTAATAGCAGGAATTGATGTGTGTGTGTGGTCCAAGCCAGAGCCACCGACTCTGGTCTGAGCAGGTGGGCAGAAAGGGCAGCTGCAAAACTTGGTTCGAAATGATGTTATTGTACAATCAATATAAAACTCCTCAATCTTCAGCCGAAGTTGATATTTTGTTGGCTCGGGGATCGCTGTGACTGGCAGCGGGGATCGCTGTGAGGTGTCTGTGTTCGCGTGACTCACCGGCAATGTTGACCGAAGAGATGAAGGCGGCGAGCACAGCCAGTGTCTCAGCAGAAGAACTCGGGGTGTAGCCGCCTCCCATCAGGGACAGACCACCCACAGCTGTCAGACCTGCACACAACCCATGTTCCAGGATTTATTAACTCACAATTTCATACGACACAACACGAGGCATTGAGAAAAACAAAACAGCACAGATTGTCAAAAAAAATTAATTCAGTCGTTTGTTTAATCAGCACATCTACTGGCTCAGAATACTGTTTGCTTCCCACATTGGAAAAAGAAGGAAACAGAAAGATGCAGCGATAAAAATAAAAAAAAAGAAGGGTGAAAGGGAGTGTGTGTGTGTGTGCTTCTCCCAAAAGAGGCTCAGGAAATCTTGATAAGATCAGACCTGTAATGATTTACAGGCAGTGGGATGCTATTCACAGCGCTGTGGGAGACTTGTGACTGTGTGCAATTTAAGTTGACTAACAGGTACAGAGTGTGTGCGTGTTTGTGTTTAAAGTCAACAGGGCTGTACATGACTTTCAAATGAGGAAAAAGGAAAATCTGACCTTTTTTTTTTTTTTTTCTAGAGGGAAAGTCGGCTTTTATTTGTTTTGTCTATGAGCTTCTACACAAAGCTTTGACCATTTATCACCATTTCTGTAATGCAAAAACAAGCTAATTTTAAATGTGAAGTGTAACAACAGAGACAACAGCGAGAACAATCTGCACAATTTTGGGCTTTTTAAAACATTTGTTGTTTGGTTTGTAACATAAAACTTCCCAAAAGTGTGTCAAGATGCTGCTAAATCAATTTTCTGCACAACTAGCGTGTTTTGCTCTTATTACATCCTTGTCACATCCATAAACATCTCACCCAAACTACAACATTCTTCTGTGTGCCTTCAAGTACACACACTTTTCATAGTTCATTAACTATATTGGGGTGTTGTTGTTTATTTGCATCAATTCTTGCCTCTTTTTTTTCACATTTTAAAAATCTAACACACTTTTTGTGAATATGTGTCAAATTTTTAAACCACCTACAAATTCTCTTTTCATTTAAACTTTACATACTTTTTTTTTTTTGATCCAACATGAAGTAACATCTCTTACATTTTATCAAACACCAGCTTCAAACCTGTGTCCCAGAACTTCCCTCATTTTACTTTTTTAAGCATTTCTTAACTACATAGATGTATGACAGGCAATAAAGATCCCTGAACATGAACCAGGAATGTTTATGATCAGCACCGTAAACCTCTTGGTCACCCGATGACCCTGCTTCCTACATTTTTATCTGTGGGTTTTTAAAGATAATCTTTGGGTTTCATGCAGATAATATCTGCCCCTTCGTTGATGTTAGATGCCTTGCAGTCTTGTCTTAGACCCAGAGTAATATAAAAGCTTGTGATTTATGATTTTTGTGTGCAGTTAATCTGCCTCTGATTATTGAATATGGTGCCTAAGTACCAAATGTCAAGCCTTTCATTGGATATTTTTAGGTATTAACTGCTGGTTTACACTATTTTATTTCAGCCTCGTTATCCTCGATAATATTTAGCCTAAAATTACTGAAAAACGTTGGTTTAAAATGGGTTCTGACAGAAGCAAGAAATATAAATTACAGAAATTATAGCTGCAATCTGCTGCCCTGTGGCCTGTATTGGGTTACACAGAGAGACAAACATTAGTCACTTTGGGTAACACACTATATATCCACATCCATCATGCTCCTATAAAAGAGGCTATCCTGAGGCCAACGTGAAAGCACAACCTGGTCACTGACAAAAGACAAAGATAAAGCCAAGAATTTGTAATTTTACAAAAGAAGAAAGAAGAAAACGGGTACAGTTACACCATCTAGGTGGAGATCTAAGGCCCGTCTGTCCACCACAATGAACTGATTAGCCAGGAAGAAAGCCAATAGGCATCAGTGGACACGCAAACACCAACTGTGACACACACAGATGTAAACTGGGTGGGCTAACGTCCTGTAGGTGTGACTCTGTGACAAACAGAGCTACAGCAGAGAGTGAATCAGTGCTCTCAAGTAGATTAAAGCATTTCTATCCGTCATCAGATGTGAAGACGTGCTTCAGCGAGCCACTGGATATGAAACCAGTATCTGAAGAGTTTAAGATGACCCACCAGTCAGAGTCACTACTGGTTGTAACACTATAATCTCCCCATGAAGAATATAACTGTCCCTCATTCAGACCCTAAATTCCAACAGGATTCCCTAATGTCTGCGAGTGATGGTGTGTGTGTGCGTCTTTATGATGCCTGGCACAACAACAACAGAATTCTACTGGTCTGTTTCCATAACCGCAGTCAGCCAGTGACAGAAAAAAAAAAGGTAATGAGTCTTAGCCAAATCCCAAAAAATACCTGGACAGAGAGGAAAGACGGGGAGGAGATGGAGGAGAGGACAGATGGAGGGCAGACAACACACAAAAAGGAAAACCTTAAAGGAAACTTGAGCGCAAAGTAATTCCTTAAACTGAGCTACTAATATTCAATAATGATCTTGTGAACTTATGGCTGTTAGCGTGATCCCATTAATGATGCCGTTTGAAAAAGTCACAGGTAGTAAATTTCAAGCAGGCAGAAAATAAAAAGGGCACCGACATGACGGAGATGGTGTGAAGACGGCGACATGTGAACAGGGTGTAGGTGTCGCTAATAAAGTTTTAAAGAAAGTGAGAAGTGTCTCTTAGCTGTTGCGCTGCCGGGTCGGACGTGCGCGGCAGTGTGCACGAGTGAACAGGCGAAGGAGGACTTCCCCGACCCTCAAAGATCACAGACGGTGTGTTACTTCCTACCCCGGTGTGGGGCTTTAGAGGGATCAAAGGTATGAGAACACACACATGCATTTACCTTCCTAACCTCTTAACCCCTCTGTGTTAAGCAGCAGCAACAATGAGGACACAATCTTTAAAACTTTTATTTGGACTAAATAGCAAAAAAAAACAAAAAAACAGCAGCAAGGCTATAGAGGCCTGCTGGACGGACAAAATGCAGGTCTTTCTTTTGTGTGTTAAATATTTTATTTGTACTTTAACTGTTGTGATTTGTGTGTAATTAAATGCAGTTTGGTTATTTCCTGTAATTATTTTACATATAATGTGTTTTGGAGAGTGCCTGATAACCTTTCCTCCTGGTGGACAACAAAGCTCTATTAACATCCAGACAATGAGGCTCAGGAACAACTTCTGACATTATACGACTGATTTTGTGTGAAGTTTGTGTGAAGGTAAGTAAAAACTACACATTTATGGAGACCTGGACAACCAACCCAATGTTTCAAATTACCAAAACTGTGAATTTATTACCAATTTAAATTTATTCTCATCAAAATGTAATCATGTGAATTAGTTCCAAGTCCAGTCGGTAAATGCATAAACTTAATGTTGTACATTATGTAGATTAAACATCTCAAAATTATCTCAGCGAGAGAAATGCAGTTTTGAGTGTTGACGTCAGGGCCAGCTCTAACCGGCTATATTTCAGTAGACGTAATCGATGGGCAGCTTGGGTGGTAGGTAGTTGAGATGTTAGAAAAGTAGAACAGTAATGAGGAGGTTCAAAGTTAGAGTTCAAGTTAATATAATCCCTGACATAAAAATGTGTGATGAGCATAAACTTGAGGTAACTAATATTTACAATATTTGTTCCAATCCACGTATGAGTCAGAGCAGGTTGTGTCTTTGAATAAGACATTTCTATTTTGTAAAAACTTCTGATTGGGTGGGCAAGACACATGTTTGAGTCCACACCAAATGTGAAAGAGATTTTGGGATGTTATACAGCTATATGTGACAAGTTATCATGAGGTAGATTTTAAATGACTGTGAATTTCATAGTGTTGAACATTTTATAACATTTAGTCCATATATGTTCTAACTGAAGGTGCAGGATGATGCATTTGTGTGCGATTGGAAAGCAAATGACTTCACTGAACAAAAGTCTAACTCCCTCATTGCACAGGCCATGTGAAACACGACTAACCTGAGATGGCGTTGGTGACAGACATGAGCGGAGAGTGCAGAGCAGGAGTGACTCCCCACACTGTGTGGTATCCCACGATGGTGGCCAGACCAAAGGTGGTGACCATCTGAGTGAAGGCGGCGTTGGGAGCCGACAGGCCCAGACTCAGCAGGGTGGCAACGCCTGCAACAAAAGGAGACAGAGTTAAAGTAATAAAATCTGAGCAACTGCAGCAGAAGGTATTATCGTTTATGTGGGGACAGATTAACAGACTGATACAAAAACCACATCCACTGGTGAACCCTTGTGCCGGATTGAACATGTGAAGGTTTAAGACAAACAGAAGAGGGGGAAAAGTATTCAAAACTTGAAGAAAAGTCAGACAAAATGACTATTTTTTTCCCCCTTTCTTAGCTTGTTAGCATCTTTTGACGTGGCAGTTTGAAAAGTATGAATGAGCTCTGGGTTTGGCAGATCTAAGCACATTCAGCTGATCTTAAGATGTGGTGGGAACTTGGCCACCCATGCTGGCCCAGTTTCCTTTTACTTCAACAGACAGGTGGAGTTATCAGTCAAAGAGCTGTTCGTCTGTTTACATTTGAGAAGCTGAACTTGAAATGAGTCCGTCTGTGACAGTCAACCTAAAATATTAAAATGGCTGAATTACACACCAGGCTAATAAGCACTAAGCCAGCTCTCCCCTTTTAAGAAAAGGAGCGCCTAACATCAGTAGCCGTGTGGTGGTGTTAAGTAGGAAACTACTCAAGCACCTGAACAATGTGTGAACCGCATTAACTACGTGTGGTGCACTTACACAGAGCGCTGCGCAGCACCATGGGAACTCCACACTACAGCGCTACTTCAAACAAACACTCAGCATGACACTGTTTTTACAATGCACACTTCCTGACACTAACAGGGTGCCTGTGTGTGTGTGTGTGTGTGTGTGTGTGTGTGTGTGCACCCTTGTAATGTGCTCCTGTCACTTCTCGCCTCCTGTGCACATTCCAGCAGTGACCTAAAAGCTTGTTATTAACCCATCCTTCACCTTATGGCAGACCTCAAACCTCCCTTAAGACCCAATGATGACAATACAAAAGAGTCAAGCATATAAATGAGCACTTCACTCTGATTTAGCATCTCCCTCATTTCTCTACCAGCAACTGACCTCCAGTGTACGCGCCAGCTGTAGTGAGTGTAGCCTTGAAGGGGGAGACCTGTGAGGCTTTCTCTGCCTCCAGTTCCTGCACAGACTTGGGTTTAGGGGGAGCTGCGACGGGCACGTTGTTGGGCTGAGGAGCAGGGAACAGGTTCTTTCCATTCTGGAGGTGAAAATAAACAGAAAGAGTGAAAAAAAAAAGCAAAGAAAAAATTCTGAATCATCAAATTACTGGATGTGATCTATATTTAAAGCCTCTTTCAGACAAGCACTCGTTTCCGTTAATCAGAACATGTCGTCTGAATGAGCACCCCGGTCACTTTTCCCTGACAGCGATCCCACTAGGTCCAACTTAGTACATTTCCATGTCACTTTCAACGTGGCACAAGTCTGAACTGCACCCAGTAATGGTACTTTGAGTTGTGTGAAGTGATTAAGGGAAATTCTTTTTCCACATTTCAGCACCGATGTTTGTTCAAGAGTCGTTCCTCTGGCTTTAATAAATACCAGAAGTATCAGACAGCAGCAGAATCTATAAAAGCAACTCCAAAGTATTAGAACACATGGAAGAGCGGTGGCACTAACTATGCTAATTGCTTGTAATTATAAATAATTTCCAACATGGAGGCAGCATCAGTCCACATCAAGACCAAACGCCAAGTCACACTGTGGGCTTTTCTTCACATCAGACAGGTCGGCTGTCATACAGTCACAGTTTAGTTTGTTGCTCCCATCTGTTTTTAGGAGTCTTTACTCTGAGTTTATTAAACACCTGCAGCATCAGACAGCAATGGGTTTGATATACAAGTGTTTTTTTAAAGTTTCAAAGTGAGGGAGTCGTGCCCATTCATGTACGAAGATCCCCGACAAGGAGGTGAAATCGATCAGGAACTAACAGCGAGTCACACTTTTCCTTTACTGTTGGTAAAGTAGAAGTTAGATTATCACCACACATGGGCACTTTTCAGTTTTTTGGAAATCATAAACTAGTTAATCCATAAACTTTTAGTTATTTGAACACTTTAACAACCTGCTATTAGTTTAGATTTATCTTTTGTTTGTCATTGATTACTGTGCATTATACCTCACTTGACAGCTTAATCAAAAATGACAATAAAATGACGCTAATATCTGAGTACAAAAGAGAACTTTCTTACCTGTGTTTTTCATTTAGAATCATTTATAGTCATTTATTTGCTACAGTGACACAAGAAGTGATTCAATGTTCTCTATGCTGTGCCTGCTTCAGCTGAAATATAAAGATAGAAAACCAAACACCTGTCTGCATGTGTGATGCTAAGATATACTGACAGAATGTGTCCTTATGGTGACATCTAGTGACTGTGGCAGGGAGCTACAACATGCTGAATGATTCTCTATTAACTGCCTTGATTCTCGGGTTCTTTCTGTGCTGCAACCTGCATATCACATAAAAATCTCACCTTTACACTAGCTGTATTTGCATGTATGAGACCTCATACCTGCATAACAGTAGAGCCTCTGACAACGTGATCCATGGTTCCGTAGTCAAACGCCTCCTTGACATCGAGGTAAAAGTTGTCCTTGTCGGGGCTGATTGCCCGCATCAGCTTGGTGATGTTGTTTGAGTACAGAGTGCTGGACTGTGTTGGTAAACGGCTGGGCAGGTCCGTGAAACCAATATGGGTCACTCCCTGAAATACAGAAAATGATGAAAAGGAAAATCGGTTGGAGGAGAAGACAACAGTGACTGATGTAGGACAACAAACAATCAACCTAAGCCAAAAAAAAAAAGCCTTGTGATTAGTAAAAGTGTGTTTGGACTGCGCTGACCTTGTATACTGACAGCTCTCCAGGTACTGTGGTCTCAATGTTTCCACCAGCCTCTGCAGCCAAGTCCACCACCACCGACCCATCCTTCATGCTCTCTACCATCGGCTTGGTGATTAGGATGGGCGCCCGCTTACCTGCAATGTTAAAAGACAGACACGGAGGCGTCACTGAGAACCAAACCTAATCTCTTGCTTGTCACATTGAACTAAGCTTCAAATCAAATATGTTGAGGGAAAAAAATGGTTGAAAACTTTCAAGAGAAAAATCCTCCATTCCATAGTTTGATCCAACAAGTGACTCATATTCAACTCATTCATACTCAACTATGTCCAGAAACTGTTGAGAGCCAAACATTAATGGAAGAAATGTGAAGCTGATAAAGTTATTTTTAATGGTCATTCTTCTGAGATTTGTTTTTATATACTTCAGAATTATTCTACCTACCCAAAGCATTTGATATTACAGACAGACCGACAGAAAACTGTTTATGTAGCCTTGATTTCAAGGACGGTGCTCTTCACTTTTTAGATTTACAGCCTGTATTTGCACGTAGGTAATGAGTTTGTGCATGTCAGCATACCAGGGATGAGAGCAGTGCTGATGACAATGTCCACCTCCTGACACTGCCTGGCAAACAGCTTCATCTCCTCCTCGATGAACTCCTTGGACATTTCCTTGGCGTAGCCTCCCTGTCCTTCTCCTGACTCCTTCAACTCCACCTCCAGGGGTTCTGCGCCCAGAGATTTGAACTGCTCCAAAGCTGCAGCTCTGAGAGGAAAAGGGAGAGAGACGAGGTGTCAGAAGGATTCAGGCAGAAAACATCTGAGATGGAAAATTAGACAACACATGCTGTATGTGAATTAAATGACAAAGATTAGTCAAGGAAATGATTACTTTACTGGCAACTATTTGGAAAATGAAGTCATGGTTTCTGTCAGTTTATGCAAAAAAATCCCATTACACTGGAAATGTCTGGGTTTTGGACAAAGCAAGGCAGCTTTCCCCAATTTCTGGTATTTATAGACATCAATTAATGAAGAAAAGAATCAGCTGATTAATCAATACTGAAAATAAATGTCAGTTTAAGTCCTACTTTTGATCAAAAGCTGAGTTGCTATGTTTGTTCTTAAAAGTACTGACACAGAACAAAATTGTTGCTACATGCAACTGAAAGGTACAATATTTAAACGGATAAAGTTAAATCTAACATCTCTGAGGTTTTCATTTACTCAAACCACAATTTCATACCATCTACAGTCAGCATCTATTGTATTACATTCACCAAGTCCCTCCCCATATGGCAACATTCACTGTTAGAGGTAGGTATGAGAGATTCACAAGAAAAAGTTCTAGTTCCTACTGTTGCTGCTTCACAAGAAAAGTGTTCAAATGGAAATACATTCCTTTGTATATTTTACTCTGGTTGGCTCTGTCATGAAACACCAGATGCAACCATTGCAGCCACCAGTTCAATCTCATTAATATTAACAGCCATAAGAGTTGCTAAACAGGGCATTAATTTCATCTAAATCTGAACTTCTTAAACAAACCTGGTATCAAATCCTCTGACGATGGCTCCCATGGCCCTGGCACTGCCAGCTGCTGCCAAACCAGCCACACCTCCTCCGATGATCAGCACCTATTCACAAACACGTGCAATAGTTGGTTAGAGATGACTAGTACAGATATTTCTTCCATTCAAAATAAAATTAATGCTAACTATAGAAACACACTCACTAATACTACACACCTTTGCAGGTGGCACTTTACCAGCTGCTGTGATTTGTCCAGTGAAAAACCGTCCAAAGCTGTTAGCTGCCAGCACAACTGCCTTGTACCTGGAATGACCGGGAATTATAGAAAACAATGAAAAATAATGAATACGGACAATAACCATGAACCGTACTTTTACATGTTTAACATGTTCCTATAATTTAAAGTATTAAAACAAAGGCTGCAGATGTACTAATACAGAAAAAAAAACATACGCAGTGTTTTCTTTTTATAGTCATGAGCCTGATATATAAATTAAAGATGAGTCTGTGGATGTAAAGTAAAATGTCTGTTGACAAGACTGAGAGCAAATAACTGAGACAGTTTAATGAAGTATAAAAACTCTTGTCACTCCTGATGGTGCTGTGCCAGAAAATATACTTTTTTCTTTTTTAGCTTTGTAGTGAGTTTAAGTTGGAAATGTTTTTAGCTAAACATTCTGCCAACTTGAGCTGCAACTGTTCGCTTTGTTTATTTTAAAAGTATGGCAAAATAAGTAAGTCATGAGTATAATAATACAGAGGACACACACATACTGTAAATACACCATGTCAGTTTTTCTTATCAATAAGGGAAAGCTGTGTGCATGGTATAGCAGCCAGTCCAGTGGTTTATGTTTGGTTGACAGTTAAAGTCATTCATGTAAAAGTAAAACAGTAACTTCCAGAGACTCCAACAACGGCTAAACTCTTGAGCTTCCAGACAAAAAGCTGCGAACACCACGACTTGCATTAAAGGTGCCGCATACGTACCCTGCGATGTTTGCCATGGAGCTCAGCGCGTCGTAACCCTGAGCGATGGTGACTCTGGGCACCTGATCCATCGCCACGACGGTTGCCTTCTTCTGGGACAACATGTCCATCAGCTCAGGGTTCTGAGCTGGGTAGATGAAGCTGATTAAAGTAGCTGCGTCCTTCATCATCTCCACCTCATGGACACCCACAGCAGGGTTGAAAATGGGAGCACGGACCTGTAAGCAAAGACATTCAGGTGGAGTTTGATCATTCTACACATCTGATCTGAGAAAATCAACAACGAATATACCGTCTCTTTACCAGAGTACTCTTTTGATTGCCTTAATCAGTGTTTTGACTCCAGGATGTAAATCAGATATCCTGTAGAGTAGCATAATTGTTTCCTTTCTCACTTTCTCACTTTCCATGTGGGCATTTTTCTGATTTTAGACAAAGCCCTATGTGGCCCATTCTTGACATATGGTTTGTTCCCACATTTTTCCTCTTCCTCCTGTCATCTTTCTTTATCCAAACCTCTGAGCATATCAAAAATCCTCGACTTACATGTACTCTTTTTTTCTTACTAGCTGACAAACATTTGACCAGGAATGTTTACTGAAGAGGAAAATCAATCAAAGCATAATCCTGGTTTCCATTTTCCAAATCGTTCTGTTTCCTTAACCACCGTGTCTGAAGTGAAGACATATTTGGCAGTTAATTGTCTTGGCCTCGCCACACTGTTCCTTTTCCACATTCCCATGCTCTGTCATTCCTCATTTCCCTCCTGCACCCAACACCAAAAGACACAGATCGTCGGCCAAAAGCCGCTGCCATCTTCGAAACGCTGACTGGCCCACCCTGTTCCTTCCATTATCCCTCGTTCATTACCTCTGCTTCACCAGTTCCTCAAATAACACATTTCTGACATTTTTAACTGAACGCAGGGTTTCGTCCAACAACCTCACATGCCTCCTCTGCCTCCTCCGTCTCGCTCTTCGCTTTAAACCTACCTTAACCACCACATCAGACGCCAAGACATCTTTCAGGTCTTTAATTGTTGCTCCAGCCTGGGTGTACTGCTCATCAGGGAACTTGGAAGGCTCTCCGGCTCCAGACTCCACGACGACATTGAAGCCCTGTTTGATGAGCGCCTGGACGCCGGCGGGAGACAGCGCCACGCGACGCTCATTCTGGAAAATTTCTTTGGGAACACCGACTGTGAGTTGTTTGTATGGAATACCTGGAGAGGAAACGAGAAACAACACAGGAGCATGTGAGAGAAGAGACAACTGATGTAGTCGTTTAATGTCATTCTTTACTGATGACAGATTGCCTGCAAACTCATGAGAAGTCAACAGTTATTTCTGGTTTTCTTAAACACTTTATATGTTGAAGGCAAACATCTTTACCTCTATACAGCTGTGAGAGCCATATACGGTAAAAAAAAAAAAGCTAAAAACTTTAAATATTATTTTGAAATTATACAGAAATTACCTGTGTTAAAAGCTAAGAGTAAAATCTAACGTTAAAAACAGAAATACTGATTTAAGATCAAGTTTAGTTGATAAAACAATTTAAAAACTTTATTTTATTGGGTAAAGATAAGATCCTCCCCTTATAAGGACGCCTATGACGTTGTTATTTTGTTTGAATGAGCTACAGGTGTTGGAGCTCACAGATTTTCCACCTGAGGACAACATGGACGTGTAATGTTCTGTTTTCAATGGAAATAAATGGACTTAAACGGATTACTTCGTCTTCAGTGTTAGAAACCTTGCACTCCTGTGGTTCAGTGCGGATGTCTGTTGTTTTTTGAAATAGCCGCTACATCAGCTATTCATTCATTTAATTGATCGTTACAACAGCTGCATGAACAGACAGCTTCTTTCACACAGCTCAGAACTGTGTTTACCATAAATACTGCACCGTATGCGCAATGGCCTTTGAAAGCAGACTGTCAAGGTCTGTCACAGTAAGAGCCAAGCGGTGTGTTGACATTTGCTTTAAACTAGATTTGGAGAAATCCTTATTTTGGTCTAATAATGCTGCTAGCTGTGAGCCACTGGTTGGTCAAATATATTAGAGTCAATGTCTGCCACCTAATGTCATTGCGATCTGTACAATAATAGTCTCATTTTGACTGTTTGTGGCAGGGCAGTTTATATCTAGCAGCACAAGCAGATTGACATTAATAACATCACAAGTTAAAAGTCAGAGGGAGAGAAAGGCTAAAGCAGACCTTTTTTAACCTGTGACAAAATGAGGGAGGAATAAAATTAATGAGAAAATAACAGGATTATTTAGTGGCAAAACAGAGACCAAATATGTAGCACAGAGACAGAAAAAAAAAAAACTGTCTGAAAATAAAAATAGTCCAGTGTCTTTTTTAGCACTTCGATTCATATCTAGGACTCCGAGCAACAGGCAGGTCACATGCTGGCTTGGCTCCTATGGAAAATTCCACTGCAGCTCCTTCCCACTGTCTCTTGACCTAAACATACATAAACACAAGAACCTGCTGTCTTTCCTCCTCCTCCTGCTGCTGCTGCTGTGGTGACCCATCCTGTTACAAATCTTATTGAACTAAAACATCACAACACAAGACAGTTAAATATCACTGCAGTCCATGTGACTTTTTTTATTGTCTACAAACAGAAGGTCACCACACACCACTGCTGGTATACTATGTGGATGTCCTGCTTTTGTCTTCACTTTGGCAGCAATCAGGTAAAAACTAAGAGATTAGAGTTTAAAACCTGGGTGGCCTGTCCCAAGGGTGTCATGTTACTGAACAAACGGGAGCTTTAAGTTCTCCTGAGAATGAGTAGACACCAGGAAAAAACCTATCCACCACTATAACAAAAAAGACTTGTGATGGACCATTATCTTCTGTTTACACACGACACATTTGGACTTTCAGGACTAGTCATAATCTCATAGTATGACATCCTTTAAACTGGAAACTGTGTGGAGCTTACAGAGGGAGGTATAAAGCAAATCTGTGATGTTTGACTCTGATCAGCCCATAAACTCACATGACACAAACCTGCCTTCCTGGATTGTATTTCTCTGTCTAACCCACACCTGAAGAAACTTGCCCTAGGTGTGACGGTGCTGTGTCAGCCGTTTGGCACAATGTGGAAATAGATTCACGCAGGTAGTATCTGCTAACTAGAAGCACGATTGATGCATTCATTTCAAAACACTAGTCCCACCAAAAAAGACTTTACCAATAACAGTCTGTTCATAAAGCAGAGTGTGATCTTGTCCACTTCCCAGTTCAAAAATCCAGTCTGACATCAACACGTGGTCTCCGTCTATACTGTACGTCTATAGGCTCCCTGGAGGTCAAAGCACAATGATCTATACAGAGTCTGTGCAGCGTGTCTGTGCCCCTCCTCTAAAACATTGCAAGCCGATACTTGTGTGTCCAGAATAGACGCTGCCAGCTGTTACTGGAGCCGCCTCAACTGCAGGACTGTCAACCTCTGTCACCATAAACCAGAGAGAGCGAGACTTTGGCACATTCGTGAACCCAGCGAGCGCACACAGACGTAAAGCTCCCGCAACCAGCTGGTACTGGCTGGCTTCACAGCACACACGCACCCTCTGCATGGTCACCTAGAGCTGAGGGCATAAAAAATGGAGAGTAACGCCGGAGGGCTGCAGTCTCCTTAGTGTGACCTTGGAGCTGAAAGCAAACGCAGGCAGAGACACTGACCCTAAACCTATATAAATAACCAGGAGTTAAAGGGAAAACGACTGCATGAGGTTGAACTGTGTCCTCTGTGTGATTTCCTTTATCTTCGCTTAGATCAACTTCTTTTTGCACTGACCTGAAAACATAAACGTTCAAATGAATGTACGGCTAGCACTGTACTCCACAGTATATTTAGATCACAATGACGGATTAGTTTCACCAGTTGCCAACAAAGGACAGTAGTGTCCATGAGTGCTACCACTTAACTGGATGCCCCCCTGTCAGCTTTGTGTAATAAGTGGTTGACAGCTGCCATGCACCTGATGCATAAGTGCATGAGAACGTACAGAGAAGCTACAGGTGCCGCAGCTTTGATGTGGTTATCAGTAGCAAAACCTCTATCTATAAACTGCAACAGATGTGTGTTAAATGCAGCTTCCAACTGGAGGAAAACCAGCCATTCCTTTATGATCTCATTTACTTGTACTATAAAATGTGCTGTGAAGTCTAAATGCACGTAGACTGCACTGTATCAGCATTCAGACCACTACTAGTACAGAGCAACAAGAGGTCAGACATGCTGAGAAACAGAGCTAACATGATGACTTAAAACTGGGTCATCCAGCATGTTTCACATTTTACAAACCCAACTCATCAACATGTAAGAGTGTAAGAGGAATGTTTCCTGTATGTGTTCTGACATGTAAATGCACCAACTATGCTTGCTGGGGTCACATGCAACTAAAAAAAGAGGTGCTAGTCAATGTGGTTATGTAACACACCAGTGAAAAATCTTCCGCCTCAGCATTTTTCCTCAAAAGCCAGGAAATGTAGAGCTGCCAGTAGAGGCAACTAATACTTATTTCCATCTTTTATTAATCTTTAGATGATTAGCTGATAAAACAACAACAACTTTGAAACTCACATGTTTGACCAATCAGTGTCTAAATCAAAACTGTCACAGTTAAAAAGCCAGAACCAGAAAAAAGGCAAATTAAATGCTTCATTCATTTAAACAATTTCACCTCTTGCAAAAGTCTTTCACCTTTCCGAGCTCTTGCATGGCTGAACTGACAACAAATGCTGCATTTAACATAATCCCCACAATTTGAATGAGACACAACAAATAAAACAATTAAACATCTGAGCTGCAGCGAGCAATACAACAGATTAAACAATGGCTGTGCAAACAAGTGGGAAGTGGCCTCTGCTGATGCCATTAGCTGTTTTTCCGCCTATCGAGGCATGAATGTTGTCAACAAAAACTGTTTGGGTGCAACAGTTGTGTTTGCTGAAGGATGACTGGAAAAGTTTTAAATGTCCTCCTGACACTGGGGCAGCGTGACATCATCACAGCCTGTATGCATCTGATGTACATGCACCGCTTATGTTGTTATGTGCAGCTGACCGCAGCAGGGATCACGTTACTTCAGTGGAAAGTCTTCATTACTAGTTATGATCACATCAGCTCAGCAACGTTTATCGCTTCAGTTTGTAGTGGTAGCTCTTGCATGCTAAATGACTTTACAGTGTTTGCCTTCATCACTACACAGTCTCTTACCTGGACTTGCACATCGCCCGAGAGCTTGATGAGTCCTGAAAAACCGCACGCATGATGATCTGACGACGCTTCCACTCTGCAGCTTCACACAGGAAACCCCGCTGAACAAAGGGGCTGAGCAGCTGGCTGCCACAACACGTAGGAGGCTCGCCATGGTGCGCACACACACACACCTGACACTCGCACTGCAGGAGGAGCTCAACAGGACAGACAGCAGCCCTCCTGGGGAGGGGACACCACAGACAGAGAGGGGAGGGAGGTTAGAGGTGAACGGTGATAAAGCGACGAAGGTGAGAATGTCAATACTTTCCCCTGAAATTGCCGGCTAACTGCACACATGTGAAAAAGCTCCACTGAAAAATGTCCTTCGCTGTTCCTTTGAGGAACAAGTGCATATGTATGACCTTTCTTTCATGCAGCGGGTCACATTGACTGAGACAACGCTGTATTTGTACCAAAACACAACACACACTGGAGCCACATTATAAAACTGCCCCATGCTTGTGCTACCACACAAGCATATGTACAATCCCTCTCCTTATGATTTTGAAAGGGAAAAAAAAACACCTCTTTTATAAAGCTGCGCATTAAACAAGAGATAATGCTCAACGACCTGTCTTTTATCAGGACTTAACAGAGGACACGGAGGCCTAAACCGACAACCACGGACACTTCTTTAAATTGCAGCCCTCTGAATGACACTGAGGCAGTAAACAGCCTGTGGGAGCACATGTTTACTTTAAAAGGAGATAATGGAACTGGGATAAACTGGGGTAGGTGGCTGGTGTAGTAGAGCTTAAACTAGAACTGACTGGCTATAAACTCCACTTTAACCTTGTTTGTGGCCTGAATAACGGGACTACTTTCAGAAAGAAGGTCAAAGCAATGGAAAAACTACTAAGTCTGAACAACTAATTGATTTCAAATCTAAATCCCAATTTAAAACCTGCTAGTTAGACATACAACATACAGCATGTCTGACCCAGGGTTAATTTTTTCTTTTGTTATTAGTGTTACTTTAACTTAACTGCAGAATGCGCAAAACTTAAATGCTGCTACCTGACGCATTCATTTTTTTCTATTACTAATTCATTCATTTACTTTATGACAGCCATAGCTTTTGTAATAATTGCTCCATCTCCTCTGCCATTTAAAACATATATTATGACATTAAATACTAATAGATGCTGGAAGTAATTTACATCTTTAGGTTGTCCTCTTGACTGTGTCTCATGTGATAATAGTTAAATATTTCTATTAGACAGTGAAGCTTTATCTGTTAGAAAAATTGCAAATGTTCAACTCCAGTTAATAAATTAATAGGATTACATAATATTTATTGTTCATAATGTCAATAATCAACTAATCATTTTTCATAAGCAATAAATTGCAGCCATTTACAGGAAACAGCTTCTCCAATATGGAAACTTTAAGACTCCTCTTTATTTGTAGTATTTAACTTAATCTTTTTTTCTTGGGCTTTTTAGCCTTTATTATAGTTGCAAGTGAGGAGAGGGACAGGAAATATGTGAAGAAGAGCGGGGGGAAGGACCTGCAGTAAAGGGTCAAGAGCTGGACTCGAACCCACGACCTCTGCTTAAAAACCTCGAAGCACCACGTCACCAATAAAAGTGGCTGCGCTCCAAAAATATGAAGCTCCCAGTTTCGGGTAACATTTAGCTCACGGTTAGCAAAAAACACAACAGCCTTTATGTCACAAACGTTCATTGCTTTGTGCTATTTCGGCTGAATTAAAGCCGGTCGGGACCCCCGTAAAGCTCCGGCTAACGACACCGTTAACCTTTATCACCAATTAAACCTCCAATAAAACTAAATCAAATCAATGGCTTCCGCAAAGCAGCGCCGCCTCACAACTGTCATTCAAACAACCCGAAGCGCAAAAACTCGTGCATTAAGTGTATTTATCATTGCAGGAGAGCTCTCAGTTGTTGCTGTCTGTGACTCGGGACGCTGTGATAAGCATCCAGGCGGGCTCTGCGTCTCTCTTTTTGTCTCCGCTCGCCACAAACATAACGGGGGCGGCTGAAGCTAGCAGCAGCTAGCCGGCGCGCTAGCTCACAACAAAGTCACCTCGGGGTTTTGGCGGATGCTGGTTATGAGTCAAGAGGTGAACTGCACGCTCGCAGGAATGCAAAGCGAAACAAATGCATGCGCGGAAAGTGAGAGTAGAGAGAGGTTAACGACGGATAACTCGACTGACCTTTGCAGACAGTCCGGGCTCTGTGCAGCTCAGGCGAACTCTCCGTCGACCCGGAAGGCGTCTGCAGCGGCGGCCGGTCCGGGAACGTTATTGGATCCGATGAGGCGCATCATCAGAGGATGTCCGACGTCTGATGTGCTGCACTGACGGGGCATTACACGGCTAAAAATAGCTTTTATTGTGCATCTGGAATGACAGCATTTACCCCACATGTTGTTAACTGACAATAGCAGGTCCATGTCTCATATTCTCACATTTATAAGTAAAGCTTCACTGAAGCGACACGTCTTTTGTTGGACGCATAAATAGATTTCTGGATACACAAACCACTGGTACACACAGACAAATGCACGACTAAAACCAAACAAATTACTGAGAACACTTAAATCTTATTCTAAAGCAGAAACGGCGTCCCAACACTGAAAATGCAACTCCACATCATTCCACTAGGGGGCACTCTAATACAGTTTTAGATCATCCATTCATAACAAAGTGCAATAAAACTCTTTTTTTCCCCAGTTTCTTTCTATCCAGGCTTCATTTTCCTGCTAAACTATGCGTTAAAAAATAAACTTGCACATCAAGCAACATATACTCAGCTGCCAGTGTATTGCAAAATTAAAATGAGTTGGGCTCCA